AAGGCTTGTCACGAGCCCCTCGAACACGGAGGAGTGAGCGAATAAGCTTGTTCGTATCGTGGTAGACTTGTCCGGCAAATTCCTATCAGCACCCAAACAAAATGCGCAAGAAAAGGTTGAAGACCCACGCAATCTGTATTCTGCGGTGCACATCGGGTGCGGCTCGGAGTGGCGTCGATAGACGCGCTGCTGGTATGGGGTCCAGCGGCGAACTGTGTGATTGGATCGGCTCAGTAGTTTTGACGATAGACGCAAAACTCACGAAGCCAATCATCGACTGTGCGAAACATGCATGCCCAGCTCTTGAGCTCGAGGCCATTGTCATCCGTTGAGAGTGCGAGTGGCCTTGAGAGTTTTTGAACGAAGGCTTCGTCGTCCAACATGGCATATTCAGCTGGGATTGCAGTCTCGGCCTGAGCATTCGAAGGTAAACTGCGCCACCATCCGATCATTTCCTCCATTGTGCGCCGCCTGAAATCGACCAATTTTTCGACATATTCCGAATGGGCGCCGGATCTTAGCTGGACATAAAGGGCACATATGTCTACAGACTCGTCGAGGTATGGAAGGGGTGTGATGTTCTGGTGGTACTCGACCAAGTATTTGTTGAGCGTTATTGAACAATTGAACTCGAGGAGGTCCCACTCCTTCTTGAGTTTAGGAGGAGGATCCTGGTGCGAGAGGTGGATGGGGGCGTATTCGAGTCCGAATGGGATCCATGCTGTCCCCACAGTTGTTATCGGTGGGCGCGGTCTGAGTAGAATCTGGCTGGCTAAGGACATGGAGGCGAGTCGAAGAGAAGTCCGGACGGCTCGGTTGCCGCTGTAACGTCACCACTCCTGACTTTCCGCCTCCGATCAAAATCCAGATCGGGAAATGATCTTCGGCCAACTTGCGGCAACACATTGATGTCGTCATAGGTATTCAGTGGGTCGGCATCGGTGGCGAGCCACATAGTTTCCCACACCATTCTGGAGTGGGGACTTTCGACTCTCCTATGTTATAACGTCTTCATTTTAGTGGCCAGCGGCGATGTACGCACTTAGAGTAATAAATAAATAAATAAAACACTTGGCGGCATGCTTCGGCAGAATGATGGTGCATCAAGCCAATGCCGATTTGCCGAGAATTATTTCCCGATCTGGATTCTAATCGAAGGCGGAAGTATAGGGATGATGGCGGACAATCCGGCAGAGCCTTCACACTCCTGACTTCAAAATGAAGCAGATATAGGTATGATGGCGGAAGCGTCTCCGGCGGACAGTCCGCCGGAGATTGCCGCAGCGTTTCGTTCCAGAACTTGCCTGTAGTTCTTATGCGCGCCTGTTCACCTCGGTCACCCCTTTCAAATAAGCATTCTGGTCCTTGGCTGCACTCAGCTGTTACAGAAATATGTTCTGCTCAAACGGTTAACCAAAATATGTGAAGCTCTGCCCACGGCCGTATTTTCTGGCACACTGCTGTAGCAAAACACTCTGCAGAAGCCTACGAGTAAATCTTCTCGCCAGAAGGCTTAGCACAACACGTGCATGCTTTACCTGAAACCACTTCCTTTGAATCTTCACTGAGTTGTGTTGCTATCCTTTTGTTGTCATCTTTCACCATGTCCAAAGTTTTGTACACCCAAATTTTGGAGCGCCTCCTCGCGCATCCTTCTCTGGCTGGAAACCTTGCATTCTACAAAGTTCAGCACTTCTTTGAACTGACAACAAGGCTCTGGCTAGAGATTGTCCCACCCAACACAGCTCGACCGGATCTTCTCCCCGATAACATTACCAATTTACTTTCCTCTGTGTTAGAATTGCAACCAGACATTGTTCACCTCATCTGGACTGCCTTTGGTGACTTGGCAGAGCAGGCTTATCTGGATCCTGTCCAGTCTTCTGTAGACGATGACCTGAAGCGACACGGTCACGCGCACGAAGTTGGTATGCAAAGTTCACTTGTTCCGCATCCAGATGCTGAGCTATATATACTAGGGGCAGAGATAATTGTGCCTCCGGTTACATTTTGTGTGTGCTGTAACAAGCACCTCAGCGAGGAAATACGAGTTGAAGTGCGCCTGTACACATTGAGAAGGGGGATCCTACCCATTTTCTCAAAATCACTATATTGCCGCGGTAAAGTTCTTTTCGTTAATGTTCTTGCACCACTCTTAATTTCTTCAGGTTGCCACACACACCACTACCACAACTACTCAGTTACCGACGCTGAAAAACCCGACTCACAACGTGAATACTATCAAAGCCAAGTACTGCGATATATCCATGTATTGGAATCATGCTATGTTGAGCGTGAACTTTGTGTCTACTTCGAGACCCAGTTAGCTCTGTCAAAGTCAGTTTCAGACTGTGATGTCTTCGCTAACAAACTAATACTTGTGACAGTGCTTCATGTACAGGTATCGCAAGAGTATACAACAATGCTTTGGCCCATACATCGGAAGATCCCAGCTCCTCTTGTTTGAAGGATGAACTGGCCCCAAATCTCGTTTTGGAGGCATTCTTCTTGCATGCCGTGCTGCGCGATGAGACTCACCACGGCTGAGTCCTTAAACTTCCCCACCATGGTCCTCAGGATGAGCGGCTCAATACCGTATTGGCACAGCGGAATTACTTCATGGTCGGTGTGAGCTATCACTTTGTGATTAGCTCTAGATGCCCTGCCACGCAGAACAAAAGTACCTTTCAGAACGACGGCTCGAAGCATGGTCACTGGCGCACTTGCACATTGGAAATCACTGGCGCACTTTTGGAAGTTAACGGCGCACTCATTGACACTCGCATTTGAAAACCCTGGCGCACTTCTGGAAGTTAAAAAGGTGCTGAGCTAGGAAAAAAGAAGTGGTTAAATTTTCCAAGACCAGACCCCGAATTGAACGAGGGTATCAGGCAACATGGCATTCCATAATCAAGACGTCCGCGCACTAACCACTGTGCTATCCGACCGTGATACCTAGCCACACAGGGGATGACAACAAATACTAGAAAAGGTGCTTAACGGAGAACACACCACTTGCAGGAAAAAGGCGCCGTGCAGGCGCTGCTTGGACGAAAGGCGCGGGGCGCTATTTAAAGGAAAGGTGTTGAGTGCTATTTAAAGGAAAGGCACGGGGCACCGTGAAGAAAGGCGCGAGGTGCCGCGCTGTTCAAAAGGAACGCTGGCGCGGTTTGAGGAAAAGAGCGCGAGTGTGCTTTGGAGAAAGCCGCCAGAGATGGACAAATGGGGAAGCAGGGAATGGTATATAAGGAGAGCACGAAGAAGGGAGAAGGCATCTAATTACCTCCACTGCATACTGCTAAAGGAAAGGCGCTCCCATTAAAACGGGAGGCACTGATCCAGTACATTGTCAAGTCAAATATATTAGTGTGCCTTCACGAGAGTGGGGTAACAGGGTCACCTTGACCGCGGTTGTACAGAATAGAAACTGCGCCAGAGACCTCCAAGACAAGAAGGGAAGAAACATTGGAAATAACAGGTGTTGAAGCGCGCGTTCAGTTGAAGAAAAACGCGGCGCGATCCTCCAAACAGCCAGCAGACCTACTCAGGCTGCGTGTAACTGTTGACTTTCAGTGCTCATAACACACACCTTGCGTGTGTAGGGCGCATTTATCGAGAAGGCGCTTTTTACCAACTCGACTATACCATTTCCCCCACCCAATTTGGCGCACTTCCCTCGATTAGCTAGAAAGGCGCCTCGTGCCTGGCTATTCACGCACGCACCAATATTCAGATTGCGAAGGAGCGCGCTCCAATCTGACAGCGCTGCGCTTACCCAGTTCTGAAGAAACTGCTTGCGCGCTGTGATGCGGACTGCGGTTCTGTGAACTACCTGACCCGGGTGGGTAAAGTCAAGTAGTGTTTACAGAATTTAATTCGTCCTCTAGGGGGAAATTGCTCTGTCGCGGAGCTGCGTAGTTTAAGGTACGCTAATGCGCGATATAAAATTTGTGGTGTGTGTGTGTGTGTACAGTTCTCTCCGTTCTGGATTGAACGCTTTGCCAGGTTCCTCGAAGATTTAGTTCTTCGTTGGGGGCTGGCCTTCCGAAGGTACCGCGGATGGATAGTTTTCTACACTTGCTCGAAGGGTACACTCCGCAATGCGAATGCTGTTCCGTTCCGGAGTACTCGGGTTATCTGTTATGCTTTTTCCACCCGTCTCGAACGTATCGGACGGCAGGTCTCTTCAGTACAGTGCAACACTATACGGACAGCTATAGTGATTCCCTTCGTAGCCTGGTTTCTCCGTTGGTGAACGCCTTGAAACGGAATCACTTCCGTTTCGAAGACTCGGGGGTGAAGTGTGCAAATTGAATGGGGGAAATGGTATGATCGTGTAGGATAGGCCTTCTGTGTACAATGGGGTGGGTTCCTCGCAAGGATATGTGCTCGAACTCCGAAAAGGAACGGTTGCACGAAGCCAAGTTAGGTGACTGGCCGTTTGGTGGTGTGCCGCGTAATCTACTACCGCGCGCTTTCAACTCCGGATTGACTATATTTTCCCCGTATCGATTTATCGAAACGGAGGCGAGACGGACAGGGTTTCTTAACAAGCCCTGGCCTTTTGGGTGACCTTGGTTTGTCCTACTATTGGGCGGCACGACCCGTAGCGGAGTGTATTTAATTTAGTTCCCCACCCCGGTGTACTTCAGGGGGAGTAGCTTTAGGTATATGCAGTGGGAGGTAATAAGATGATCGTTCCGTATCATACAACTGGCTTTTATACCATACTCCGTCCGATACTCGCGTGTGCACTTATACCTTTAATTGGAAACGGACGTCCCTCCTTTTCAGTTCTGACTCGCCTCTGTGATCCCCCACGCGTTCCCGATTCCGAAGGGGTTAGAAATTGACTCGGAGCGGCCTCGTGTCACCTCCGTTTCCCGTTTCAGTCGCCCCGTTTCCCAAGAACCACCTGAGTTCTCCATTTAGTCGCTCCATTTCTCATACCGCAACCACTCCTTCTCCGTTTGCTCCCCCATGACCTTCTCCCTAGCACCGGCCAGATAGTGCAACGGTAGCGCGCGCACCGTATATGTTGACCAATGTATGCTCGCGAGGTCTTCGTTTGATTCGAAGTCTGGCCATGATACACCATCAAGGAAACTTTTGCCTCCGTTTCATTTTTGAGTGAAGGTGCGTCGAGTTTTTTGAGTAAACACTCATTGAACGGCCAGGTAGCGCGTGCGAGAATCAATATTTTCCTCCTCGATGCTTGCTTGTAGGTTCCCGTTTGATTCGGAGTCTGTTGTTCATATAATTCAAATCAGGTTCGTCTTGTCTCCTTGTCCGTTTGTCGAGTCCTAATCACGGCCTGGTGGCGGAATGGTAACGCGTGCGAGACAAATACAGACTTTTTATACGCTGTGATGATTGCTGGGAGTGTGGACTGGAAAGTCGCCGGTGGTAATTTTGGCGGCATACAAAGGGTCGACGGGCCAGTGTGAGCTGTCACTTTGTGATGCGCTCCGAACGCGGCTGCTGCGATAGCGAAGTCCTGCTAACGTCTTCCAGAGGTATATCGGATGAACGAAGTGAAGGCTTGTCAATAGCGCCTCGAACACCGAGGAGTGAGCGGATGAGCTTATGAGCTTGTTCGTATTGTGGTAGACTTATGCAGCAAATTCCCATCAGCACCCAGACAAGATGCGCAAGAAAAGGTTGAAGTCTCACATTCTGCGATACATATCGGAGTGGCACTCGTAGACGTGCTCCTGGTATGGTGTCCAGCGCCGAACTGCGCCGTCAGATCAGCTCAGCAGTTGGACAATAAACACTCGACTCGCCAAGCCAATCATCGACTTGGTAAAACATGCATACCCAGCTCTTGAGCTCGAGGCCGTTGTTATCCAACGGGAGTATAGTCAGCCGTGAGAGTTTTTGAGCAAGGCCTTGGCCGTCCAACGCCACATATCTAGCAAAAACTGCAGTCTTGGCCAGAGCATCAGAAGGTAAACTGTGCCACCATCCGACCATTTCCTCCATTGTGCGCCGCCTGAAATCGACCAATTTCTCAACATATTCCGAATGGGCGCCGGATCTTAGCTGGACATAAAGGGTATATATGTCCACAGACTCATCGAGGTATGGAAGGGGTAGGATTTTCTGGTGGTACTTGACCAAGTATTTGTTGAGCGTTATCAAACAATTGAAGTCGAGGAGGTCCCACTCCTTCTTTAGTTCTGGCGGAGGATCCTGGTGCGAGAGGTGGATGGGGAAATATTCACGTCTGATCGGTATCCATGTTGTACCCACATCTCTCTTGGGCGGACGCGGTCTGAGTAGAATCTGGCTGGCTAAGGACATGGAGGAAGGAAGGAAAGGCACATAGGGGCAGAGCGGAAGAGAGAACTTTTCTGGTCGAAACCCGGGCGACTCAGGTTCAATCAATCCACTGCGGACCTTTCAGACTGGTTTACCGTCCAACTCCTGCTCCATGCTCCCGGCCAATGTGGACCTGCGCACGCATCTCGCCAATATCGAGGCTTTAATCGCTGCACTCGAACAGCGAGATGTCGACACCGAGCTCTCATCGCGTTTGAATGCCCTCGAAGATGTTTGGTGGCCCATCCAGCACCAGCTGGATAATATTATCTACCCAGTCCTCACTCTTCCACCCGAAATCCTGTCCAATATATTCATGGAATGCCTCCATACCCCTCCAGCTCTCGAGGACTCCCAAAAATATGGGCCCAATCTGAACCTAGCTCCCCTCCTTCCGCTACAGGTCTGCAGAACGTGGAGGGAGATTGCCCTATCGACTCCCGGCTTGTGGGATTCCCTCCACGTAGATCTCGATCGCCTCATCCGGGTGCCGCGAGATGTTGTATCCCAAGATAGAAACATTCATAGCGGATTGGTTTGCTAGTGCTGGGTCACATCCACTCACACTCAGCCTTTGCCTGCATGAGCTACGACGGGGTCCAGGAACCTTTACTGCCCAAATTAGTGCATTCCTCCATCCCCTTGCCCCACGACTACGGAGTCTATATCTCGAAGTTACATGGTGTCAGTTTGAGGAGCTCACAGAAATCGGATCATGTCCGATTCTCGAGAACCTCGTACTTTCGCTTCCTCTCCGGCAGTATGATCGAACCGGATTGCCTCTGAAAATATTTTCCACCGCTCCTCGACTTTGCCACATCTTTTTCACTGGATTTGCAACACCTGGCATCTTTGTACTTCCCCCCAGCACGGTATCCCAAATATCTTGCGACGTTCTCATCGCACAAGAATGTCTAAATCTCCTCAAGGCCCACCCTTTCCTGCAGGAATTCACAGGTGGCCCCAGCGATCTGCTCTGGACTGAGGTACCAGGCATAACCCATAACCATCTCAAAACTCTACGTCTTCATTCCTGCAGCTCCACCCGTTTCCTTCGATCTCTTCGGCTTCCCGCCCTGCAAAATCTTCACCTTTGTTCGGATGTCACTTATGACAGCCAGAATCCAAACTACTTCTCCACCTTCCTGGCCTCCACCTCCTTGCGACGCTTTCACGTTGACCGTCCAATTAAATCACTTTCTGTTGAATGGTTCACTGCCATGCTGGGCCTCGTAGATCTCGAGCTCGACCTACCCAGACACAAGTTTCAGCGTGAGTTCTTTGGGATGTTGAATCGTACTAGGGACAATGGGTTTCTCCTGCACTTGCGAACCCTCATGTTCCGAGGGGGCTTCTTCGAGCTAGATGCATTGGTGCTGGAAGCACTCTCATCCAGATGCACGGCGGGGGACGGTGATTTCGCCCGTCTTGATTCGTTCCAGCAAATCTGGCACCCAGTGTCAGCACACCTGGCTCACGCTTTCGCTCGCGACAATGTATTATCGCTTGTTGCTTGTCGGGAACTCGTCAAGCGAGGGATGGCAGTCCATGTTGGACCCGAGGGGCAGAACCTCGTCTAGTTGCTATCCAAACTTCATCCTGCCTATTCTACAGCAGCCCGTCCTCTCTTGATATCTGCCCATTTTACATTACTTTTATGACAATTTGTCTTCCAACCGATTGCTGAGCGCTGATGGTTTGACTTGATATAATTTGGTATTGCTCAGCGCCGAGTCCCACAGTACCATAAAGAGCAGCTACCTACAAAAGGGGCTTATGTTCAAACTGGTCTGCGTAAACACATTTTCACCCTGGCGGAGTAGTCACGCAACAATATTTCGGGTCACAGATTCCCAGAAAGGCTACTTTGTGCGATTGTCCGGCCGAACTAATGTTGGCCCAAAAGGGGGCGCAAGCCTAGACCCAAGGGGGGCACCATAACTGCGGGTTATGGGCTCGTTGGACAATCACAATGCACCGCCAAAAATAATAATAATAATAATTTGGTTTGCCAAGTCAGTCGGCCGAAGCTCCGACTCAGCGTTTTTGATCATCGGCCACCATGCTCTCAACCAGTGCTGACCCGCGCGCACATCCCGCTGAGCTTGACATGTCAATCGCCCAGCTTAGATTGCACTTGAAGGCCCTCAACTCAATGTTCGAGCTTCCATCCAGAGGTCGCTGGACGACCTCTGGATGGTATCGTGTACCCAGTCCTCACCCTCCCACCCGAAATCACGTCCAATATCTTTCTCCGCTGCCTCCATCTTCCGAATCTTGATGACGAGAGAAGAATTGGCCCGACTCCGAGGGATGCCCCCCTCTTTCTGCTGCAGGTCTGCAGGGCGTGGAGGGAGATCGCCCTGTCGACTCCCCATTTATGGGTTTTCCTCCACGTAGATCTGGATCGCCTCACCGAGAGGCTGCCTTACCCTGAGATAGAAAGAATCATAGCGGATTGGTTTGGTCGGGCTGGGGCGTGTCCACTCACACTCAGCCTTTGCTGTGAGCTACGGCGAACCTCTGCCAATGGAACCCATGGGATCCTTCATCCCTTTGTCCAACGACTACAGAGTCTATATCTAAGAGTTCCATCGCTCGAACTTTCGACTCGGAGTCAATCTAGGGTGCCTCTAAAACTATTCTCCACCGCCCCTCGACTTCACTAGATCTTTTTTACCAGATTTGCAACACCCAGCATGGTTGTACTTTCCCACGCAGTATCCCAAATATCTTGCGGTGTTCTTAGCGCACAAGGATGTCTAGAGCTCCTCGAGGCCCTCCTATTCCTGCAGGAATTAACAGCTTGTGTCTATGATGACAAGTTCGACCCCGAGTGCATAACTCATCACCATCTCAAAACTTTACGTCTTCATTCCCGCAGCTCCACCCGTTTCCTTCGGCTTCCCACCCTGCAAAATCTTCATCTCGATTCGGATATCACACACGACTACGAGAATGTGAATTATTTCCCCACCTTCCTTGCCTCCACCTCCTTGCGACGCTTCCGCGCCAACCGTCCAATCACATCACTTTCCATCGAATGGTTCCGAGTTCTTTGGCATGTTATCTCGTACCAGGCACAGTGCTTTCCTCCCACACCTGCAAACCCTTGTGTTCCGAGAGCGCTTCTTCGAGCTGGATGCATTGGCGCTGGAAGCACTCTCATCCAGATGCACGACGGGGGATGATGATCTCACCCGTCTTGATTCGTTCCAGCAAATCTGGCATCCAGCATTAGCACGCCTTGCTGCCACTTTCCCTCGGAACAGTGCAATGCTTAAGGCTTGTCGGGAACTCGTTGAACGAGGAGGAATGTCAGTTCACGTTGGCCCCGAGGGGCAGAACCTCGTCTATAGACGAGGTTTATAAGGAATTAGCTAGTTCCTATATATCCAGCTCAAAATCACAGCAGCCCACAACCCAGCCCATCCTCTCTTTCAATTTCGGCATTACTTTCGGTCGACTTTTCTTTGTAACAATATATCGCTTGTTCTTAACTTCAGTTCGTTTCATTCCGATTTCTTTGACCGCACTGTACAAACGCCCGTGATCCGTTCGGCAGCCCTCTGTTGCGCTGAACTTTCAGCCAGGGTCTCTGAAAACATTACGTTGAAATTCACGATACTTCTCATTCTTAAGAACGCTCTCGCCTTCTTCAGGTTTAGTCTCGGACCATCCTCTCCCGACATCCCAATATGGGAACCCTGTCGTGAGAGTCTGGGCATAAGCCAACCACTTAGCCGTATCATTGCGCTATCAA